TACTTGATGTAAGGTAGATGGAACAACATCCATCTCGTGAATCCAAGGTCTGCCAAGAATCATATTGTACGCCATGTCCATATCAATTACTTGAAATTTAGTATCTTTGACTACTCCTTCTACGAATGTGGTGAATATTATCTCCCCTTTTGTAACAACGCTCGAGTTATCAAAACCAGACAAGGTACGTGCTTTGGATACCAATTTACCATCGGCTTGCATCTCGTTTACCACTCTTAACAGAATGATATTTACAAAGCTACATGGATCAATCAAAACTTGTTTTACGTTAGTATCATGTACAAGTAAAGATATTACCAGTGAATCATTGTGTGGGATCAACACGCCATCTGCGTCTGCATCATCAAATGTTATACTATCTTCTTCTAAAACTTGGCAAACTCGCTTCCCATGGGTAACCGTGATTTTTGACACTTTTTTTGCTGCCATATATGTTACGCCGTTGAACTCCTCTCCTCCGCTTATGACATTAACTATTCTTTTTAGTGATGGAGGTTTTGGTGGCTCCTGCCTATTCTTTATATATGCTTGCTTACCTTTCTCACTAAACAATTCGGTCAAGTAACCTTGCTTTAATAAATGCTCAACATCACCTTGTAGCAATCTGCAATCCGCTGTTTTGTGGCCGTGATCATTGTGAAACTCGCACCAGAAATTGGGTTTCGCCTGTTCGAGTTTGATCTCATTTCTTTTGGCCACCGTACTTTATCTCCCATGCTTCTTAAAACAGCTACCAACTCAGACGTGCTAACATTGAAGCTGTAACCACCAATCTTTGCTTTTGAGCTTCTGTCATTGTCTCTCGTATCTCGCGTATCCCTCTCCTTTCCGAACCTGGACGACGAACCCGAATCTTTGTCCCTTGATCTGGAATCATACCTGGGATTTTCTTGTTTTGAACGTGAATCTCTACCTGCTGGTCCCATATAAGGTTCTTACTTGTTTTTACCGGACCTTTTTTCAGTTTCTGGCCGTCTTGAGCTTACTCTTTCATCTCTCCGGGACTGAGTGATAGTGTGTTCTTCTATCCGTAGCTTCGTGTTGCACCTGTTGTAAACATCATTCCAAGTTGTTGCAGGGAATTCTCATAAGCTTTCTTTGAGTCTCCTTGTGGCTTCTGAGCTTTTTTTTATTTAAATTGCTTGCAAATGCCATAGCCGACCAATTGTCAGGTACGCGTGGTAGCATCATTCTTTCACGTTGGAACCTATCTACGAATTCCCTGAGTAACTCCGTATCTCCCTGTTTTATTTTGAAGATGTCTTCCACCCTCTTCTCAACTTTCTGAGCTCCTAAGTGTGCTTTTATAAACGAATCTGCAAGCTCAGCAAAAGAATCAATAGAGTTTTTAGGTAAAAGAGAATACCATGTTAATGCTCCCTTTATGAGCGTTTCACTGAATTTTTTGACTAGTACTGATTCAATCTCTTGGTTGATCAAATCGTTACCCTTTATGCCAGTTGTAAATGCTGTCACATGATCTCGGGGATCGGTTGTCCCATCGTACTTTGGGATATCGAGCATTTTAAACTTCTTCGGAATAGGCAAAGGAGCGGCACTTGGCTTCCAAGGTTGTTGAGAGTATTTGTCTATATCTACTCTTTTGATTATAGGTGGAACACCAGGTATCGGTTCTATGCATTCGTTCTGCTCCTTGAGCTGTTTCTGCAAAGTTAGTACTAGACTTTGTAAATCAGAATTAACTAGGATACCTGACCCTCCATCACGAGATTCGCTGGGAGTTCCTCCGCTGCCCGAATTAGCAAGCCCTGACCGTGGATTCTCTATGGTCGCGGTGTTGTTTGGAGGAGGAGTCGGTGGTACGGTTGGCAACTCACTAACAAAAGCTTGCGGAGCATTGCTGACTTGTTCTGCATTTAACTGTTTTAATGCTGCATCGATATCTTGATCGCCCCCATGTTGATCATTCACATGCGATTCAGATCTATCAGGTGTCCCTTCTCGTGATTGTCGAGGAGAGTTTCGTGGTGAGGGGACTGGAGTTCCATCTCCCTGTTGATTATGCTGATTCAACTGTTGCTAATTTTGTGGGTCTTGCAAGTTTTGTTGGTTGTTGTCGTTAGCGTTTGACATGATTTTTTCGCAGAAGAATGGATTTGGAAAGTAAAAAGATTATCAGATTCCTAATAACGGAACTAGTTGGTTTAACCAGAAAATAAGAATTTCGGTCAAAGCGTATTTTTAGAGGTACTCGGGTTACTGATAATCAAGAAAAGGAATGTTCTTGTAATAAGAAAGGAAAATTAAATTATGGAATAGCAAAGTAACCAATATAAAGCAGAAGTAAATAATTGTATTCCAATGATAATCAGAACGTGTCCATACAAATGACATTTCTATTCTTTATATAGACATTTCTATGTACAACGTCTTTTCCCTTTTATGACTGAGTCATTATGAGCATTAATGACATTAATGGAACGTTATAATTGGTAATCGTAACTGTTTCGTGAAGATTCTGTAACGTTTGTAATCATTTATGCCCATTAATTGAAGTCTAATGAATCTATCCTTTTTCCTGTCTTGGTTCATTCCACCGGTGTCTTTTCAGATTACTGAGAGACTCGAGTAACTGTTCCTTCTCATCCCTCAGACGTTTTGCTCGTACCTATTAAGACTCACGTCTTTTTAAGTACTCTTCTCCAGCTGTCACTTTTCTAATGATCCACGTGTCTTGCCATGTCAGCCACACAATTAATTTCTTGTGTAATGTTTATTTTCTCCCAATACGGCTAGTTTAGCTGAAAACACTATTAACATAGTGTGACATTGGTCCCGGCTCTGCACATTTTTCTCACAAGATCTTACGCCATTAAAAATATTATTATACCTTATATTTAGCTGGTTGTTCTTTTCAACTTTTAATGTGAACTTTTCTTTTCGCACACCCAACAATTTTTACAATAACCAAATATTAATACACACATATTTCCCATACCAACCATCTTAAATGAATTATAATTTGGAATATGTCACTCTCCGCAGTATTCATGTGCCTCCACCGCTCTGTTTATTTATATTTAATTTATCGATTCTAGAATTCTCATTTCTCAATTGTGAAAGGAACAAGGACAAGAGAAGAATAATCAAATTTTGTTTCTTTACTAATCTAGATCGATTCACTGAACTAATATTGTTCATTCTGACTAATACAGATATGAGCATCTAAGTTTTTCTTGCTATAGGCTATAGCTTGTGAACATCATTTGATTATTTCTGCAAGCTACTAATAAGACTTCCATCTTTACTTTAATTTACACATTAATTCAAACCCTTAGCACTTATATAAACAGGATAACATCATTAATAATATGTAAATATGATAAGATACTAATAGAAGAAGACTAGGTGGAAAAGTATGGCGAGGGCATGAGGTGGGGCTGTGCACGGATCAGATCGGATCGGATTTAGCACATTTCAGATTCGGATTTCGGATTTCGGATTTCGGATTCTAGAAAATGCAATCCGAATCCGATCCGAATTATATCGGATCGGATCAAATTTTAAAGTTTGGATCGGATCGGATTTCGGATCGTATTATTATGCCTCAAAGTTGTAAACTAATATGTATATTTCTTTGTAAAAGAGGCAATACATTCATGTTCATGCAATTATGAGAGTACTATGGTGCCAATATAGCTAAATCTACCAATTGTAAAAGTAATAGCTTGGAGGAAGATGTAAAGGAAGTACTGACTATCCAAAATTAAAGTGTATTATTTATACATTGCCTAATAATTTCGGATATCGGATCGGATCGGATTAAAATATACCAATCCGAATCCCATCCGAAATCTAAAATTTTAATAAACACAATCCGAAATCCGAAATTGAATGAATCGGTTCGGATTTCGAACCTCCGATCCGAATGAACAGCTCTAGCATGAGGCATGGAATTTTGTCGTTATCATAAGATTTTCTAAATAATTCAAATTACATACAGACGGTGAGTTTTTTTTCCTGATTAAAACGTATTTATTTTTTATATCAAAATGATTGCTTTATCTTCAAGATTACAAATCTCACTTCTATGAAGATCGGCTACTTGTAGATAACTTTTTGTGAACTAATAAATAATTTCTTCCACGAAATATGTGTTTTTTCTCTACCCGCCATATGAACATAATTATTTATTACTCAAAATCTTAAGAACATAAAAATGGAAAATAATCAAGATTTATTCCAAATCATTAAGAGGTCGTTTGGTAGGACGTATAAGAATAATACTGAATATAGTATATTAGTAATGCTGGGATTATTTCTTATCGGCTGTTTGGTTTGATGTATTAAAGGTTTTGAAAGAGCAGTTATGTCTTTATGCATGCTTATCCATGTATTAAAAAATCATGATTCTAATGTCATGATTTGCTATGTATAAGAATACTACTGAATATTGTGTATAATTAATATAAGTATTAATTAAACATAGGTCGAAAAATACTACCAAACAAAGGACTAATAATACCAAAACTAATAAATATATTGTTTTTCCTAATACACCATTTCAATCAACCCCTAACTATATTCTTAATAATAACAACCTCACCTTCTTCCTTTTTTTTTTTTTTTTTTTTTTTTTTGGTTTTCCACCCGGTATCCGCTACTCACATTGGAGCTCGACTAAATCCGTATTCACGTCGGGAAGTCCCACATTGGGGGGTAATATGCTCCCTAACAAAGGCGATTCTATACCCAGAGACTCGAACCCGAGACATCTAGTTAAAGAAGAAGGAGTACTTACCGCTCCATCACAACCCTTGTCGGTCTGATCTCACCTTCTTCTTTAGTAGTACTATAAAACAAAGGTATGTGAAAAAAAAATTCCAAATGACATATAAGTTGATTTTTAATACCACAAATCTAAAGCTTTTCTTAGTAGGTCCTACAAAAGATTTTCTGCCACCTAAACTTTTCTATATAACATCTAACCTCTAACCTTTCTCACTCCCTTCAACCAATTTTCCCTTTTTAAAACCTTCTTTCCCTTTACTCTTCTTTATTTTAAGTAATTCCTTCCATTTCTCATTACACTTTTCAGATATAAACCTGCAAAAACTGACAGTAGCAGTTAGTATAAAACTTTTTAAGGTAGTTAAACTTTTGTGTGAATGAAGCTAGAAAAAAGATACTCAATTATATATAAATAGTCAAATATCTGAATTAGTTTGAGTAAAGTTGAAGAATTTTTGAGAATGAAGGAGAGTGGTAGAAAACAAAGTGCAGCTTCACCTTGTGCAGCTTGTAAATTGCTAAGGAGAAGATGTGCACAAGATTGTGTTTTTGCTCCTTATTTTCCTGCTGATGAGCCACAGAAATTTGCTAGTGTACATAAAGTTTTTGGTGCTAGTAATGTTAACAAGATGCTTCAGGTAAGAGACCTAATTCTAATAATTTTAGTTTAATTTTCTTCCTGCATTATTATGTTTAATTAAGCGAAGGGGAGCCTTGAAACAACGATAAAGACATTGTTTCGTTTGACTTATATATAGGTTACGGTTCGTGCCATGAAACTAGTTACTGATGCTTGCATCATAATAGACTGCCTACATTACACTCCCTTGGAATGAGGTCCTTCCCCGAAACCCTACGTGAACAATTTTAATTTATTTTCCTTTCTGCATCATGGATAACGTTTCAGGGGAGCCTTGGAACAACGATAAAGTTACGTTATTTCGCTTGATCTATATATAGGTTACTGGTTCATGTTATGAAATTAGCTACTACATCAGAGGATACTGCATACATTACACCCTCTTGGAATGCGACATTTCCGCGAGACCCTAAGTTAACGGGGATGCTCTTCTTTTTTTTGGGTATTATCACTTTTAGCTCTCACCAGAAACTATTTACATTTGGTAGTCGAAAAATTGTAGACAATTTATATAATTTTTGTATATGACATACAAAATGTATATATACAAAATATATATATTTTTCGACTATTATTTTAAGAACAACTATACAGTGTCGTCCCCTTTTTTTAGAATGTCTACTTAAGCCTTATTCATGCATTTTACCTTGTTTATTAAAGAATGTGGTTGTTGGAATTGAGATATAGTTATTGTTGGTATTGTACGAAAAAATATTTTTATTAAAATCTAAGTGTATAGTAAATATAACTTAGATTTTAGGGCAGAGTGACTAACTTCTAAAAGAAGGCCAATTTTTAAAGATTTGTATTTATATACACCAGTATAATAATGTGTTTACAACATTTATGAAGTTTTATAGGTTATAGCATATTATTTTTTTATTTTTTTTTTAAGTTTACTAGTAATAGAGACTCACCTAAAGTTTATTATAAAACCTATGATTATATGAATTGGCTAGTCTAATTTTACACAGCAATTTAATTGCATAACTTTTGGCATTTTATTATAGAACACTATTTCAGATGCTAACTCTCGTCATTTCACTTTTAATAATAATTCTTTTTGGCATGATTTACCTCTAATTTTGTATCTTCCTTACTTTAAGTGGGCCATTATTTACTAGCACGTTGAGTATCCCCCTTATATTTATAAAAAATTGGATTTCTGACCCACAAAGATTTGTTCGTTTTGCATTTGAGAACCAAATTTAACTTTATATCACACACCCAAGTATACTAAATAGTCTTATTTTTTTGTATTAAAGAGTCAAGGTTAGAGATGACTACTAGTATGAAAATATTGACCCAAAAAACTTTAACGTGATAATAGTAAAATACACCGATAAGATTACTGTAAATATTTTTCTTTTCTCTTATTTGTGGGAAATTTCTTTTATTTTTTTTTTTAATTTTAATATTCTCCATTATTGGCTCTATAACGGCTGAAAACGGTCCAACCAGGGGCGAAGCTATGGGTGGCTAAGGGTGGTCAACTGAACATCCTTCGTCGGAAAATTTTACTGTGTATAGGGTAAAATATTACTATTGTTATGATCTAATAGACTTTGAACATTCTTATTGAATTTTCTGGCTTCGCCACTGGGTCCAAAGACCCCACTGTTATTACCTTAGGTAACATCATACCTTTTATTTTATTTATTATATACATATATTTAAATCTTAAATATTTTTACTGAAGTTTTTGACCTCGTCTCCGTCTTGGCCCATCTTGAGTCTAATATTTAGCACAATACATTATATTATTATAACTTAATTTGTTTAAATAATTCAAGAACGTTTTCCAAATAATTAATTAGGAGCAGAAGAGATAAAAATTGGAAAAAGCATAAAGAAAAGTGAGTCTTTGTAAACAAAGTCTTTTAACATTTTTTTTATTTTTCTCTTGTGGTACATAAGCGTAAGAATATAGTCAAAGATTTGTTATTCCAAAGTAATTTTAGAAAAGTGATTATATCACTTGCATTTTTTCCTTATTTTAATAGGGTGAGTTCACACTTAAAAGACAGAAATTCTATGTTAAAAGTTCAGGTTTTTACTTTACTCTTTTCTTGAGGGCTTAAACAATTATATTTCTTTTGGTGTAATCATGACATCACTATTGCATTTATCATTTTGTCAAATTTTAGGGCTAGAAATTAAATTTATGCCACTTGCAAAGAAAAAAGAAGAAGTTCCATCCATGTTATTTCAGACTAAAATACCTTAATCACCCCCTCTTTTGGTTGGGGGGAGGCAAATTAATAGAAAATAGAAAATAAAATAATTAATTAAGTTTCTATTATGGATGGTGATTGTACAATCTTATATGGACAAAATATGGTATATTGCCCAAAAAAACTTACTCGCATTCAATCTTTACATTAAAAAGATGGTTAAGTAACATATCATCACTTTGATTTGTACGTAATACAGACAATGGTAAAGCTATAATTTTCATCAAGGGGTTATAAAAGTTTAAACAAGCGGAGAAGCCGAGGGGTACAATATCTTATATATATATATGCATTTTATATAGTATAATTCCCTACAAAAGGGGTTCGGATGAACCCTTACGTCCCTAGCTCCGCCATTGAATACAGAGTTAATTGCATGAATTGATATAAATATCAGATACAAATAATTATTTTATTTTTGTAGGAGTTATCGGAGCATCAACGGGGCGATGCCGTGAGTTCAATGGTGTATGAAGCTAATGCTAGAGTTAGGGATCCAGTTTATGGTTGTGTTGGAGCTATATCATCTTTGCAACAACAAATTGACCATCTCCAAACACAATTGGCAATTGCACAAGCTGAGGTTGTACACATGAGGATGCGACAATTTTCGTCGATGTCTAGCGGTGGCGGCACGGCCGGAAACTCGCCGGAAAACGTGTCGCCATCGTCCCGACACACTCAAACTCAACCAACCATGTCCCTTTTTACCATGGACATGGTGGTTGATCAAGCTAATATGGGGGAGTCCTTATGGTCATGCTAGCTAGTAACTTATATAGTTCGGACTCTTCAAAAATGTCACTAGATGCAAGTCAGATCCTTCAAAAATAACACTATATTTTTCGAGAATTCGATACGACACGGGTGGAACGATATTTTTGAAGAGTGCACGTAACATAGCTAGTAACTATTTAGCTAGTTGCTTGACTAGCATGCTTGCCTAGTCTTTTCTAATATTTGCTATCAAGATCTTACTTTATTGTCTGCTTCTTCTTTTTTTTCTTCTCTTTTTTCTTTCTATACATCTTTATATAGCACATCTCTAGCTGACCCCTCAAGAGATGATGATGACCATTATTAACCATATTGTAAATGTCTAAACATATAATTATGAGCTATAATTATGATATGTACTTATGTATGTTGAGTTGACTACTTTATAATTAGTTTCCTTTGTTGTGGGGTAGATAATTGGTTCAAGATTTTGTATCTAATGCTTTTGATGTTTGTACCTTACTTTTGAGGAAACTGCCAGACCATTTTAATTAAAATAATGTTTGTCTTTTTTTTTTTTTTAATTTATATTTTTTTCTTCATTTTTCTTGTTTCCTTTTGGCCCCCATGTTGGAATATGGTGTTATCATTAAGGCAAAGTATCAAATATGAAGTGACTATAATTATAGGCCATAGCTTTTCAAAATATCAAGTTCCGGCTTCTTTAATGGTTTCTTCACTATTATATTTCTTTTTATTATTGTTGTGAACTTGTGATTATGCTTGTCTTGAGCAGAGAGTCTATCGGAAATAACCTCTCTATTTATACAAGATAGGAGTAAGGTTTGCATTCGCTCTATCCTCCCGCGACCCTACTTATGGGATTATACTGAGTTTGTTATATAATTATAGGCCATAACACTTTAAATGACATTCTCAATGTCCTCCTCTACATCATGAAAAGATGTCATGTCTCTGAAGCTATTTTATTTCCATCAACCCCAATGGTATCCTTAGAGACAAAAGCTAGAGAAACAGATCTAATTATAGGGGGTGGCAAAATTTGATTTTTCAAGATTACTTCATTCCACATTCTTTCAAGAACAATGTGATTTGAAATTGCAAATTTAATACCTTTTGGAATTATGCTCAAGTTGTAAGGTAGTTGAGACTTGCTTTTCATAGGTTTGTGCTCAAGTGTGTGGTTGTGTAGGTATGTGTTATGAGACTTTCATAGAAAGACAGAACTGAATTAGGAGACTCTTCAGTAGTTGCCGAGGATCTATCAAAAACAACCTTTATTGTCACAAGATATGGCTAATATTTGCATACACTAAAATATTATGCACTACAAATATAGTTATTAAATGGTTAACACCGCATAAAGGCCAATTAAGCTCATTTCAATTCAAACATTATAAAGATTAATTTATCTAACACTAAAAATTCTCTATATTTGCTGATAACAAATAAATCTCTAACAAGCTTAATTTTTTTTTTTAACAAACAGTAGACCTAAATAAAGGTACTAAGATAGCTAAAATTCAATCCTAACTAATTAAGATATCACCACACACACATATGTATATATTTTTCCTTATATTGGATCATATTAAACTCTACCTTCAGGGTATGGGTAAGGTCTGCGTATACTTTACCCTCCCAGACCCTATTCGTGGGATTATACTGGGTTGTTGTCGTTGTTATTGTATCATATTATATGCTAAGTCTATTGGATACTAAGGACCTGATTGTCCATAAATTTTATTTTATTTTATTTTTTTGATTTTTTTTCTTTCAATAATGTGTTTGTCCATGAAATTTTGCAAGTTTTGAAAAAAATTCAAAAATGAGTTTTTCAAATTTCCCCCGCTCATAAAACTTCAATATTTTTTCAAGTGAAATACATGTCCAAACACAATTTCAAATTCCAAATTCCAAAGTATTATTTTTCAACTTAACTCCAAATACTATTATTTTTAAAAAAAATTATAATTATTATGTACAAACGCCTACTAAGAGATTGTAAGTCTTTCACTTACAAATAAAAAAAATTAATGATAAACAATAATAGATAAAATATTTTTCAGCATATTCAAATTTGGAGCCAATAATAATAAAGAAATTTAATTTATGCTCTTTTTTTTTTTTTTTTTTTTTTTTTTTTTTTTTTTTTTTTTTTTTTTTGGTCTTTTCTTTCTCCTTCCTTACACCTTCCTCCTCACAACTGCTCCATCTTCTACTCCTTACTCCATCTTCCACACTTTCCCCACAATTGTGATCATCAATTTGATTTTGGATTTCATCTCACATTAAAGCTTAAGTATTAAATACTTGGGCTACAGTGAAAATGGCAAACAAAGCATTCAGAATATGTAGTAGTGTGGCTGAAGCATTGAGTTACATGCCATTTTCGCTGCAATACATTGAGCCAACACAATAACGAGTTTCCTACTGTCTTCCCCAGCAGTAAGTGCCTTTTCCCCTTTATTTTTATGGTCTATGGACTGGTATTTACACTATATAACATCCAGATTATATGATACTCAACTAGGGGTGTCAAACGGGCGGGCGGGTCGGGTCGAATATGGACCGGCCGATAACCTGTAATGCAAAAACGGATATATTATCCGGCACGACCCATATTTAATACGGATAGAAAATGGGTTAACTGGCGGATAATATGGATATCCATATTATGGCTTCTTGAATATGATCACTTTTGAGAGAATTTCTAATCCCTAAAACTTGAGGAACCCCAATTTGAGGCTTTACAAATGTAAGAGTTAAATCCATTAGTTATGCATTTTCTAAGTGGATAATATGATACTTATCCATGTTTGACCCGTTTTAAAAAGTTCATTATCCAACCCATTTTTTAATAGGTAATACGGGTGAATAACTGTTTTCTTTTAACCATTTTACCACCCTATTAGTTATGCATTTTCTAAGTGGATAATATGATACTTATCCATGTTTGACCCGTTTTAAAAAGTTCATTATCCAACCCATTTTTTAATAGGTAATACGGGTGAATAACTGTTTTCTTTTAACCATTTTACCACCCTATATGATACTCAACTCACTTATTTGGAGAATGATGCCTATGGCCTATGGGTTCTCACTTTGTCCCTTCTTTTAGTTTTACCCCTGGCTAGATTCTTGTGTTTGGTTAATGCATAGGAGTAGTGACACTCATTGTGTTTATTGGGTACCTTTTTTGCTTATGGAGGTCAATTTGACAGATTTTGATATTAAATTGGACTATATTAATTTACTTTAGACTAAAATTTGGAAATTATATTATGATATGGAACTTAAGTCTAATTCAAGCTCAAAAGCTAGGTCATAAGATAACGATTGTGCAATACCATATAAGGAGACCAAGTCCTCCATCCACTACCAATTTGGGAATCTAACACGTGAAGTACCATAAGTATATGTGCCTAAGGTTGTGGCGTAGTAGTCAATGAAGTGGGTGAAAACAAATGGGAGATCAGGGTTCAGATCCTAGCAGTGACAATATGTGTTAGGCGATTTCTTCCTATATGTCTAAACTTTGAATGGTAGAGTTACCTGGTGTCTGGGAGATAGCATGTAGCGGGTGGAATAGTCGAGGTGTACGCAGGCTGACCCCAACACCAACGTCATAAATGAAGTTCCATAAGGACAAACTTCTTCATATCAGATGGCAAAACGTTGAATTTTCTATCTTACTCAATGTTCACTTTGTTGAATCAGAGGAGCAGAAAATTGACAAACCTTTTGCCCCACAGGTAGTAGTACTCTCTAAAATCTTAATGATGTTGGACTTCAATCTTATCAAAGTAAGTGATTAAAGTAATAGTCAATCAATGCCTCTAGCTTAGAGATTGTTTTCTGGTACTTCTCTTGATCTGACTTGTGGAGCTTTAAGTGGTGCCTAGGAGTTGATATACTCCAACTATCCTAATACTTCAAAACAGCCAGTTTGCACAATTAATGAAGATTGGTTCATGTCAGTGTTAGATTTTAATCAAGTTTTAGCGATATAATAATTAGAGCAGTTAAAGTAAAAATTCAGGCTTGTATGTTTAGAATACTAAATAATAGTTCCAAATCATGGTGCAAAAGTTCTCTGAATCAGAGAAAGGAAAATACCAGAGCAAAGTAAAGGTAGTAAAGCAAACAAGGGGAGGTAGTAACTAACTTGCAGCTCTCATTCATGTTGCTCTGCGGAGCACTGCATAACAGAGGCGGACCTACACTATAGGTTGAGGGGTCACCGGCAACCGGAAACTTCGGCAAAAACTCTATATATACTTGCAAATCTCTTCAAAAATTAGTAAGATATTAGCATAGGCCCCCGTACCAATCTATATGAGCAGTAATAAATTTATATTGAATGCCACAGTGCCCCCACAACCATTGAATCCTGGGTCCGCTCCTGCTGCATAAATATTCTTAAGTGTAAACTTGAGCTTGTTTATCACTCCTATAACTTATGCAATCATGTTGAAGTTCTAATCTTGTTCTTTTTTAGGAGTGCACCATTGGTGGAGCTGCTTATTTGTTTCATCTGTTATCGGTTAATCTAAATTCTCAAGGATTCGATAATGATAATTTTTGTTACTTGATAAGATGAGCGACTTTTAAATGAGTCGGGTTTAGATTGGGGAATATGAAGTCTTTGAGCTTATGGATTAAGTCTTGAATAGTGAGATGCTACATCTCTATCTTTCTGAACGAGTCAAGCGACGGATAACATAAACAACCTTTTTACAGCTGCTTACACTACTACCTATCATGATACCATCAAGGAGAAAATCACATCCGCTCTCAAGAATGCCTACATTTTTGACAACTTCGGACGCTGGTTGGTTCAAATTTGGGCACCTATAACCACTAACGATCAGATTTTTCTAACAGCTTGTGACCTACCTTTTGGTCTTACGAAACTCCATGAAGGACTTTGTTTTTAAGGTCAAGAGTGTCTGAAATTTAGAATTCCTATTGTAACTGATTGTTCTGAGAATGAGTATCGACTTGGTCCTATTGGACGCGTGTTCAAACATGGTTTGCCTGAAATGAGTCCAGATGTTTCTCGTTATTCTGCCAATGATTATCCTCAGCATGGCTTGGCTTCAGATGCTGGTTTAGGGAACTATTTGGCCGTACCGGTTTTTGAGCCTCTTAGTAATCAGTGCATTGGAGTACTTAAGATCATAGGGGATAAGAAGGGAAGCTTCTCTCAAGACCTTTTTTTTTCCAAAAAGTAGCTGCTATTATTGAGATATCATAAGAAAATCAAATTAAATTAAAGTCCTTCTCTCAAGACCTTGTTCAAATGGTCTATGAGATGCTCAATGTATGGCTTTCCTCTCTACTTTTCTTGCCATTTCTCTTTCTCTCTTCTAGTTTGTTTGAGTTAATTTTACTGTAGAGAAAGGAAAGGTTGTTCAAAACTTCGGTTAATTTTAGTGTGGTAGCTAAAGTATAAAAAAAACATGAATTAAGTGAAGAGTTTGGTCATTTTTAAATGTCACAATTACCACTTCAATTTTCTAGAGATAGATTAAAAGACGTTTTCTCTTCATAGGAGCTATGCCTAGTAGCCTACTTGTTTCTCATGAACCTCTATATATTTCTCTGAGCATGGCATCTTGTTCTTAACAGAAGGTGGACTTGAGATCATCAAACATATATGGCCACCCCGACAAGAAGGTATGTTCATGAAGATGCTATATGCCTGAATTCCCAAAGACAGGAAAAGAATATCTTAGACTAAACTAAAGTGTACCTCTTTAACTGAAATAAACTAAAGCTCCTGTATCAACTGTCTGTTTTTAGCAGGGCCTTAGAGGGCTAGAATGCGCCTTAAAAGAGATCGAGGAGCAGTTGAATTTTATATGCAGAACTCATCAATTACCTCTAGCTCAGACATGGCTACCTATCCTTGACGGAAGCAATGTTGAAAGATTCAAGACCGCAGAGGAACAATTTTGCATATGTACATCAGAAGGCTATGAGTTCAGAGCTGCTTGTGATATGTTTCACTTAGGGAAGAGTCAGGGGGTTGTTGGTAAGGCCTTTTTAACCCGTAGTTCATGCTTCTGCAGTGACATCACACAGTTAAGCATGACTGAGTACCCCTTGGCACAATGGCACATGTGGCACACAGAGTTGGATTACATAGCTCGTTTGCTATATGTTCGCAGAGTTCCTACAAAGGGGACTATGTATACCTATTGGAGTTCTTTTTACCCCAAGATAACAAGTCAGATTTCAGGAGTCCACAAACCATGTTGAATATGTTATTGGCCTCGATGAAGCGACAATTTCGAAGTTTCAAGCTTGCTTCTGGACAAAAACTGGGAGACAAACTATCTGTTGAAATTTTACCTGTTCCTTCAGATGATGGACTCAACTCTTTTGAGATATGCCATAGTGTGAAATCTTTATCTGATATTGAAGCAGTAGCACGCCCGGGAAAAATAGAGTGGTTTGACCCATCAAACAGATTACCGAAAAGTGGAAATACAGTAAATATCTATCCTGAAAATATTGATCTAACAACATCATCAAGAACTACTAACACTACAACAAAACTAAAAAATGTGAGGGTGCTAAGTAATAGAGTTGTTTCCAATAGCTCTGAGGGAGAAAGCATGATGAAAATATCCGAAGGACACCACAGAATTAACAATGTAGTGCTTCAGCAATCAGTTGGTGCACAAGTCAATGGCACTGAAACCACTCTTGGTAATAAAAGTAAATTCTTTTTAACAGATCTATTGCATCTCTGATTGTATGCATTAATATTTTCAGGTATGTTGATGTTATTCCAAGTAAATTCTGAGTATATTTGCAGCCTATGTCGCGCGGACTCTCCAAAATGATGCCGCACCCGTGTCGGATCCTCCAAAAATAGTGTATTTTTGGAGGATCCGACACGGGTGCGGCATCATTTTGGAGAGTCCGCGCGACATAGTTTTCAGCCAGCCAATCTGCTCCAAATAGTCTTGGCACAAAGCATCTTGAAATTAACGACATGAATTTCTCCAGTGATCAGCTTGAATCTGCCAAGGTTGCTGATAGCCATTGTGAAGAATCCAGTGGAGGTGACCAGTTATGTCATGACACCACAACTTCCTTGACTCATGCTGCAAAGCCTACCACACAAGCTGCGGGAGTGCAGAATGAAATCATCATTCCAAGAAAATGTCCAAATTTTCTATTCTCTGGGGTTCGTGGTGATGAGCTAGAAAGGTTAGCCAAGGTGTCAGCTTTATGATCGTGAGGAGCTCCAGGTTTGAGCTCTTTCCAAACAATCACTGGTTTTCTAACAGTATCATTAAGTCAAAACTGTTGATTGATGCACATGATTTATGTTGATTTGATTTGATTACTCTAAGTCAGCCATTTGTTAGTGGACACGTTGTGTTAGTACTATTTTTCCGCTACGGTTTCCTAGTACCTTGCCACTATACTGATTATTGATATTGCATTTTTCATTTATTTTTCTGATTCTTAGCTCGCTGGTACTATCTTTTTGGCGTATGTTGTTGTTACCATTCTATTGTCTCATTTCATCTTCTTCTGCCGAGGGTCTTCGAAAGCAACCTCTCTACCCGGGGTAGGGGTAAGGGCTGCGTATACTCTACCCTCCCCAGATCCCACTTGTAGGATTATACCGGGTTGTTATTGGTTTTTTACTCTAAGTCAGACATAGATTTGGTCCTTTGGAGATATTGATATCCTAGGTGAAAAGTTCAAATATGGTGAACTTTGGCAACCAGTGGTTTATAGATTTGAGAGAAGATTGGAGGGATGGATGACGATACTTGTCAAAAAGGGGAAGAATCATGCTATAAGTTCTTACATTACCTTATCAAAATAAAATCATGCTATAAAATTGCAATTCCATTTTCAGTTGGTAAGTTTGAAAGTTAATGAGAGAATTCTCGTGGGATGGAAAAAATGGGAAAGGAGATGCCACTTTGTCCGGTAGGAGAAGGTATCAAGCTAAATATTCATGGACTAGCCATTTTTTAATAGACATTTCCGCATTAGAAATGGTTATCGAGATTCAGATACAAAGAAGAGATTTTATTGATGAAGGCGATTAGCACAAAGTACAGATGCAGTCAATATGGCTGGTTTTCTAGAGATGTCAAATTACCGTGTGGGACGGGTCTACAAAAAGGTAGTGTAAAAGAAAGAGTGAACTTCTCAAAGTTCATGGGGTCTTTGATTGGAACTAGTAGCCGAATAAGATTTTTGCTAGATTTTATGGTGTTTATGATGCTTAGTTAATAGTTGCCATACATTTTCTTGGTGCCTAATAATTAAAATTACATTTCTATTAGGTAGCCGAGTGTCTTTGTAACAGTAGCTTTGATTCACCACTTGGGTGTTTTTCGTGTTTTTTCCGTATCCCTAGACTTCTATTGCTACTTGCTGTTGTCTTTGTTTCGGTTTGATTGCATTACCTATTGCTATTTTTGTATTTGTGCTTCGGTTGTCAGATCGGTATGTTTGTTATTGCCCCTCTCCTTTTCCCCTCCCGAGCCGAGGGTCTTTCGGAAACAGCCTCTCTGCCTTCTTAAAGGCAGGGCTGCGTACACTCTACCCTCCCTAGACCCCATCTTGTGGAATTACACTGGGTTGTTATTGTTGTTGTTGTGCATTTCTATTATTTAAAAAAAAATGGAAAAGGCAAGTTTCGCAAATAATTCCTAAGGATTCTAAGCAGATGATGTTGTTGGGAAGAAAGTCATATCATCTTTCTTTTTCATGGTGTGGTGCATAAGCATAGGCGTAAGCATTTATTCAAAAAATTGTTCCTGAGTAATTCTAGAGAAATGTGCCGATCATTTGTGTTATCTAGGTGAGTTTACACACAAACAACAGAAATTTTAAGGTTAATTACTTTACTCTTTCTTGATAGTTAAACCAGCTTTGTGTTGGTATAATAATGACATCTCTATAGTATTATTTGTCAAGGCTTAGGGCTTTAATCATGACATCTCTAAAGTTCATTGTTGTTTTACATAAGAATACCATAACTACTAGGGCAGCCCGGTACACTAAGCTCTCGCTACGCACGGGGTCCGGGGAAGGGCCGGACCACAAGGATCTATTGTAAGCAACCTTACCCTGCATCTCTGCAACAGGCTGTTTCTACGGCTCGAACCCGTGATCTCCCGGTCACATGGCAGTAACTTTACTAAGTTACGCCAAGGCTCCCCTTTAATACCATAACTAATCAAGGTTAGAAATTATTTGCATTTTGTTTGTTTGTTCGAGTGGATTTCTACAATTTTAGGTTCGGATTTCATTGTTTTTGCAGGAATTTTTGCAGAAGTTACCAGAGCATCAACGGTGCGATGCCGTGAGTTCAATGGTGTATGAGGCTAATGCTAGAGTGAGGGATCCTGTTTATGGTTGTGTTGGAGCTATAGCATCTTTGCAGAACCAAGTTAGCCTTCTCCAAATGCCCAAGTTAGCCTTCTCCAAATGCAACTGGCAGTTGCTCAAGCTGAAGTGGTGTGCATGCAGATAAGTATGGACATGGCAGATCCAACACTTAATTCTTCCTTCCTTGTTTCTTGCAAAAATGTAAAAATAGCACGGCCTAGCCAGTTTTCGGACTGGTCATGCAAAAATAGCCAGCGTTTACCAACTCAATGAAAAATAGCCACTATTTTGCTGCAACAGAGACCGGTCCAGCATAATATACTGGAGTTCGGTGCACCTGTGTATGAACTTCCAGCTCCAACACACGGAAAGTTCCAGCATAATATACTGGAGATTCGAGCACTTGTGTATGAACTTCCAGCATATTATACTGGACCGGTATACTTTGCTGGAACTCCAGTATATTATGCTGGAGTTCTAGTGTACTTATGCTGGAACTCCAGTATAATATGCTGGAGTTCAAGTATACTTATGCTGGAACTCCAGCATAATATACTGGCGTATTTTCCGGGTTTTGAACAGTGTTTTCGCTCAGATTTATCTTTACATGAAAAGTGGCTAAATTTCGATTACTTTTGAAACTGGGCTATTTTTGAACGACCACTTGTAAATCTGGCTATTTTTGAATTTCGCCCTGCAAAAATGCAGGGTAAGGCCGCGCATAATAGATCCTTGTGGTCCAGCCTTTTCCCGGGCCCCACGCATAGCGGAGCTTAGTGCACTTGATTGTCCTTTCTTTTTTTTTTTTTTTTTTTGGGTACCTCACTGCACTACACTTGCTTGAGTCGCTTAGGCTACCAGATATTGTTTGCGTTTGGTTGCCATTTATTTCAGTTTGGAGTTTGTAAGAGAACTTTTTATCAGAACTTCGCTTGGTGTTTTTACTCATGGATATCTACAGTTTTGGATTAACAAAACTTCTTTTTAATCCAACTTACACTAATTTTTACTACTTTATAAAATGCTTGCGGTGTCTTTTATACATATGAAAACATATTTCGTGAAAAAATGAGTTCAAAGCTATCTCACTACACTGATGAGATATGGTTCAAAATTGCAAGCTTTTAGGCCTTTGAAAAAGATTAGAAGAACCCTTTAATAAAAAAGAAAAACAAGAAGACAATAACACTTCTTTTTTTGTATCAATATTTCAAGTCTCATTACAAAATATTGCACAAGGAGGTGGTCATTCTCATTCAAATAGTGGAGAGGATAGACTGAGTTTAAGGATTGAGATTAAATCCTTAAAGAGAGCGATATATCCATGCCTCAACTTAAAAATTTGTTCTTTCCATCGTGTAGGCTTCTTGGCCTAAATTTTGTCAATTTTGACCTTAGTTCAATTAACATATGTGGTTATTAAAAAAGTAGCAACCGATGCAGTTTCTCTAATTATTTGAAGTGCAATTGTATTTCTCTCAGATTTCATCAAGTTTAAATAGCCAAAGGAAAATAGGAACTTGAAAATAGAAAGAATCTGGATAAGTTGAAACATTAGAAGATTATTTTGCTCTGATCAAAATTGGAAGATTACATCGAAAATGCTTTTACAGTTTTTACATTATACTTCCACTAGGACTGATTTATACCTCTTCTAGTTGTATAATAAGGTTTGTGTTCATCTATCATCAACAAAAGAACCTATGTTGCTCGGACTCTCCGAAAATGTCGTTGGATATGTGTCGGATCTTCCAAAAAGTAGTGCATTTTTGGAGGATCCGACACGGGTTCGACAACATTTTGGAGAGTCCGCGCAACATAGTAATGAACTACCAACTTCATTTGGAGAGAAAAGTATTCAAAGGCTAACCAACTGCATATACCAGCAAGAAAGAAAGAAAGACTTGCATGATTTAAGACTTTGGGGTGATGGACATCTTAACAGTCGCGCGCTCTGAAGATCTATAATGCAGAAAACATTCAGTCAAATCCTCATCACATTTTATCAATATCGTATCACCCTCTTTATCTACATACGTTAAATCAGAACTTTCAATCGATGACTCGACCCTCTTTGCCACTTCCTCTTCTAAATCCTTCATCTTAGAAGAAAGAGTTAGCTTCAATTTTAGCATCCTATCTCCATAATTCACCTTTGTAATCACAGCTGTACCATCTCGGATTTCTGTAACATGTGCTCCAACTTCAGCTCCATTAATTGTGTCTTCCTTGTTAGGAGAATCAGAAGATTGCTGGAATTTTGTACTAGCATTGACATCTTCCTCAGCAGGGAGGATTGATTTCATTTTACGAGAGTGGGAGCATTTTCTTTTCTTTTCCTTATTCTTGGGTGGCCATCTAGTTATACCGTATAATCTGCATATACGCTTCAGTGTTGATTTGCCAACTGCATTAGAATAATCCCAGGTTCAAAAATGTCTTCAGTGAATCTTAAACTACAATACACACATATGATTTAGACTAAAGGAAAGGAGAAGATAAAGAAATCATATCAATTATTCAATCGATCAACTACGTCTCAATACTAGCTAGTTAGAGACCACCAGGTGAATCCTCCATGTCCATTCACTCAGCTCCCGCTTTGGCCATAAGTTTTTTGCAAAAAAAAAATTGAAAACAATGTTTGGTCATAAAACGTGACCAGTTTTTGGAGAAGAATTTTTCAAGTTTCAAAACGTGGTTTGAACTAGTTTTTCAAGTTTCTACTCACAATCAACTTCCTTTCAAGTAAAATGCATCTCCAAACATAATTTCAACTTCCAAAAATAATTTTTCATCTCTTCTTCAAAAGCTTTTTTTTCCTAGTTGCAACCAAATCTATGTCCAAACGCTAGCTCAATTTGGGTCCATTTCATTCCAATCACTTGTAAACAAGTTAAGTTTTAAGACAAACTTGGGATACTCTAATCTATAACTTTTTTAGATCTTACAATTTACCTTGGCAAACATGGTGTAGTACTCGGACCCCTCGAGCATGGCTTCATTATGACTAGGAACATGTTGTGAACTTGATATGGTAATGAATTGTATAGGTTCTAAATTAGAGGCTCCCCACTTATTGTTCTTTGAATGCTGCTTAGTTACACTTTCCTTTTTGTCCTCAACAACTAAGCTAGATAGTCGTAATGTCTCTCTAGAATATGCTTCACAGAATCTATTACGGACTTGGAACTACATTAAGTGTTGGATCCTCAGTTGTTTGTTTTAATTTGCTTATATTACTCCTTGGTCCATACTAGCATTATGAGACTGATTAATGGATGTGGATATATGGTGGGCGGGCAAGCTGACTAAGTGCCAGTCACGGTTAGGGTTAACTATACCTTAACCCAAGTAGTTAGTATCATTTATATGGAGCATTTTCTTCATGTGTACTATTCTTAAAGAAAGAAGAAAGATACAAGCAGAAGAGTTTTGGAAAGAGTTTATGATACCTCCCAAATCATCGGCAGCGGCATCTTGAGTCATTGACGAACGATCTTCAATTTTTTTGAGGTTGATGTTATGGTCTCGTTCTATCCTCTCTCTTTCTTTCTGAATCTCTGACTCAGAGGTAAAAGTCCGTTTACCGTTTCTTCTTTTGTTCACAGCATTTGCTCCCTGCTCTGCCTGTTGTGTTGATAATTCCAGCTGCAGTTTTCTTTCTTTGTTTTGTGACGTTTCAGCGCTAGTTGAAGATCCAGCGGAATTGCACTGTTCTTCACTTACAGCTACGCTATCCCTTGCAGCATTTATCTCATCAATATCCAAACTCAGTTGCTGATTTGTTTCGGAAGAAAAAGACTGCTGATTTGGTGTGTCAGACAACATCAACTCTCCTCCATTTGGCAATGGCTCAACATTATGCAGTTCTTTAGTATTTTGACAGATCTCGAAAGAATCAAGTTAATCGTCAGAAGAAATCTTGATGACTTCAACAGGTAACTTCTCTCCAAAATCATGTCCGACTGCAACCTTAAAGTGTTGCAACTGTTGTTTCACCGTGTCCAAAACTAACTTCAGGAAGGCTTGTAGATTTCTATGCAGAAGCTCATTCGGGGGCAAGAAGAACTCTAGTATGTAAACATTGTCATCATTGCCCGGAGCACTTAAACAGATTGCAAAACAACCAGTTAAACCAGCTTCGCGAGCACAAGTTACCAAAGGGTATTCCATTATGCTCAACTGTGTTACATCTTGGCAAAAGCATGAAGATTTTGATGAGAAAGCCCTGCCTACAACACCGTAGCCTTCTAACATGTATTGAAGACCACTAGCATATTTGAATCTTAAGTTTTGGTTATCATTGATTGCATTGTATCGTTGTCTAACACTGATAGCTTTTCCCGTGCACCATGAATCAGCAACGCTGACCCAAATCTGAGCAAAAGGAAATTGATGTTTTTGACATACCATTTCTATTGACTTGTATAATCCAGCAAGAGTACATAGCTGGTCATCCAAAACCTGCCTTGAGACTGTCTTCGTTAATATGAATTCAAGATAGAGATATTTCTGAAGCTTAAACAAAAAGAGCCAAAGGAAATAAATATGGTCCGAAGGGAGACAGTACTGGAAAAGAGCTTGATCTACTGGACAACTTACTTTCCAATTATCTGAAGCATTGAGTTACATGCCCAGTCCCCTATAATACACTGAGCCTAACACTCCAAATGAGCTGTGGATATTCTGGAGCCAATACAATAACGAGTTCGCTACTGTCTTTCCCATCAGTAAGTGCCTTTTTTTTTCCTTTATGTTCCAATTGGATTGGTATTTATACTATATAAGTATCCAGATTACATGATACTCAGAAATTACCTGAAAAGTATTCCAAGCACAAATTCCTTCATATCAGATGGTGGAAGGTAAAACTTTTAAACGTTAATCAAAGTTAGGGGTCTCAAATGGGTGGGTTGGGCCTATTTTGGCCGGGTCAATATGAGTTGAGTCAATAATTGAGGAACGATCGTACCGTAGCGATGATTATTGTTCGTTAGCTGGTTTTTGATGGGCTCGCAAAATTTTAGGCGATTCTGAGCCGGTCGCCCGGATGCATGCCGATGGCGTGGACTATAGTAAATCTGGGAATCGTCCTGAATTCCTCTTTTTTTGCCCGAAAACGCCAAAAAACGAGCCCAAAAGTTACTTAGGCTATGATGGGCTGGATCAAGATAGGCTAAAATTTGGGTATAGCCCAACCCGCTCAACTCTTATCAAACTTTACTTAATATGAGTCGTTTTCTTATGAATTGTATAATTACGAAATAAGGTTTTTACTTTTCATTCGTTATGGTCATATATAACATATCAAATAAAAAAAAATAATTATTTCTAAAATATTTTGGCAAAGCTGTTTATGGATTAATTTGGGCTAAAAATCAGCTCAACTTTAAATGGATTGAGATGTGTTGGGTCAAGATGGGCTGAGTTCAATAAATGGACGGATCAATAACCAGCCCAACCTTGGACGGGCGGGTTATTTGGGCTTGGGCCAAATTTGACAGTCCAAATCAAAGTTCACTTAGTTTAAATCACGAGGGCAGAAAAGTGACAAAACTTTTGGGACACAGGGTTTAGTATGTTGAGTAAAAAAACTAGCAATTCATGTATATGTTATTGTACTCTCTAAAATCTCATTACTTTTTGGACTTTGATGTTATCAAAATAAGAAATTAGACTAATAATCAATCAAAGCTCTAGCTCAGAGCTTTTTTTTGGTACTTTTTCTTCATCGACTTGTTGGATTTTTAACTGCTGCCAAGTCCAAGTCTTAGCGATGTAAGAATATATGATTAGAGCAGTGAAACTACAAAACTTCAGACATTTATGTTTAAATAGTAACAAACTTGCCACTCTTATTCATGTTGTTTTTAGAGCATCCATGAGTATTTTAAGTGTTGAACATCCAAGGAGTTTCAAACTTAACCAGTTTTTCAATATGATTGCTATATATCTATCTTTATGAACGAGTCAAGCGAGTAATATTATAAACAACCTTTTTACAGCTGCTGCTACTACTATCTATCATGATACCATTAAGGAGAAAATCGCATCTGCTCTCAAGAATGCCTACATTTCTGACAACTTCGGATGCTGGTTGGTTCAATTTTGGGCACCTGTGACTACTAAAGATCATATTTTTCTAACAACTTGTGACCTACCTTTTGGTCTTACGAAACTCCATGAAGGACTTTGTTTTTATAGATCAGAGTGTCTGAAAGTTAGAATTCATATTGTAACTGATAGTTCTGAGAATGAGTATCGACTTGGCCCTACTGGACGCGTGTTCAAACATGGTTTGCCTGAAATGAGTCCGGATGTTTCGCGCTATTCTGTTGCTGATATTCCTCAGCATGGCTCGGCTTTAACTGCTGGTTTAGGGAACTATTTGGCTGTACCGGTTTTTGAGCCTCTTAGTAATGAATACGCTGGAGTACTCGAGATCATAGGGGATAAGAAGGGAAGCTTCTCTCAAGACCTTGTTCATATGGTCCATGGGATGCTCAATGTATGGCTTTCCTCTCTACTTTTCTTGCCATTTCTCTCTCTCTCTCTCTCTCTCTCTCTCTCTCTCTCTCTCTCTCTTAGTTTGTTTGTGTTAGTTTTGCAGTAGAGGAAGGCAAGGTTGTACTACTGGTGATGAAATTGGTGTGTTTTAACTGTTACAGTCATGACTACAATTTTCTAATGATTAGTTGAAACAACTTTTCTCTTCATGGAAACTACAGCTAGTAAATTATTCTTATTCATTCATTTCACGTGCTTTTCTTGTAAATTGTCCTCAAGTAGACATTCAAGCCTACTTGCTGTGGCGCCTCTTGTTGAATTGTGTCAACCACATCATCTAAAAGTTCAAACTGTTAGACAGAGACACTTTTATTTGTTAGACAGAGACGGTTATATTTACTTTTAAAATCAGGATGTGCAGGTTTAATTCTTTTTTGTTAAGCCACACAGCTGGTTTTTTTCTTTTGGTTTAAGGATGGCAATGAGACTAGGAGATGAGGTTATTACCATGTTGAATTGTGCGACTGCCTTACCAAAAAGATTAACTTGTTAAAGAGGAAATACATTTATTTATTTAATTAGGTCCATAACACCTCATGTGCATGACTGCATATGCAGATACCTTTCCTTTTCCTTGTTTCTTACAGCAGTGGTGTCTTTGCCAGTTTATACGCACCTCAACTATACCACTGTGTATCGATTTTCATTTCTCTTGAGGTGATTTAACATGTATTCATGATTTCTAGCTACGGGAAACATGTGATTGAAACCTTATCCTTCAATCAGGCCTGTAACATCCCTCTAAATAAGAAGCAGAAGAGAAAATCTGTAAGAAGTAGGCTTCATTTGTTTCAAGGTATAAGACAAAGTTAAAAGCAGTTTGTTGTTTCTTTCAGATGATCGATTGACATCCATCCTTTAGCACAACTGTTAGTTTTCCTCACTCTACCATAGGAAGTGGAAATGAAAATTTAACCTCTAAGGAGACTTGGGGGAGAGAAAAACTCTTCTTTTTTCCCTTTCTTCGGTCTTTAAAGCTTTGTTTGGCATATGTTCGTTAAATCCTTATAACCTCTTTCAATTTCTCTGAGCATGGCATCTTGTTCTTAACAGAAGGTGGACTTGAGATCATCAAACATGTATGGCCACCCCGACAAGAAGGTATGTTCATGAAGACGCTATATGCCTGAATACCCAAAGCTAGGAAAAAACATCTTAGACTAAATGTATCTCTTTGCTCCTGTATCAACTGTCTGTTTTTAGCAGGGCCTTAGAGGGCTAGAACGAGCCCTAAAAGAGATCGAGGAGCAGTTGAATTTTATATGCAGAACACATCAATTACCTCTAGCTCAGACATGGCTACATATCCTTGACGGAAGCAATGTTGAAAGATTCAAGACCACAGAGGAACAATTTTGCATATGTACATCAGCAGGCTATGAGTTCAGAGCTGCTTGTGATATGTTTCACTTAGGGAAGAGTCAGGGGGTTGTTGGTAAGGCCTTTTTAACCCGTAGTTCATGCTTCTGCAGTGACATCACACAGTTAAGCATGACCGAGTACCCCTTGGCACATGTGGCACACAGAGTTGGATTACATAGCTCGTTTGCTATATGTTTGCAGAGTTCCTACACAGGGGACTATGTATACCTATTGGAGTTCTTTTTACCCCAAGATAACAAGTCAGATTGCAGGAGTCCACAAACCATATTGAATATGCTATTGGTCTCGATGAAGAGACAATTTCGAAGTTTCAAGCTTGCTTCTGGACAAAAACTGGGAGAGAAATTATCGGTTGAAGTTATACCTGTTCCTTCAGATGATGGACTCGAGTCTTTTGAGATATGCCATAGTGGGAAACCTATATCTGATATTGAAGCAGTAGCACGTCCGGAAAAAATATTGTGGTTTAACCCATTAAATAGATTGCTGCAAAGTGGAAATACAGTAAATCTCTGTCCAGAAAATGTTGATGTAACTACATCATCAAGAACTGCTAACACCACAACAAATCTAACTAATAATGTGAGGCTCCAAACAAATAGAGCTGTTGAGGAAGAAAGCATGATGAAGATATCCGAAAGGCAATACAGAATTAACTGTACAGTGCTTCAGCAATCAGTCGGCGCAAAAATCTATGGCTCTGAAACCACTCTTGGTAATAAAACTAAACTCTTTCTAACAGATCAATCACATGTCTGATGAAATGCAGTAATATTTTTCACGTATGATGATGTTATTCTAATTAAATTTTAGTACACTTGCAGCAAGCCAATCTGCTCGAGATAATCTTGGCACAGAGCATCTTGAAGTTAGTGACATGAGTTCCTCCAGTGATCAGCTTGAATACGCTAAAGATGCTGATATATATTTTAAAGAAACCAGTGGAGGTGAATATGAGGAGCAACAGGTTTGAGCTCTTTCTAAACAAACATTGTTTTCATACAGAATCATTAAACCAAAACTGTTGATTGATACTCGTGATTTGTATTGATTCCATAGAGGCTATGACTTGCCATATTGTAAGACATGTAACTAGTATAAATTCCTAATGACCCTTAATAAGCGGCCAAAAAGACGTTAAATAGAAGCTTCTAATTTTTTGTTATAATATCAATGGGATAAAAGCGTAATGCCAATGATGGAATCTATATAGCTGAAAGCAAAGTGTCTTAGGAATCTATATAGCTGGAACAACCTTTCCTCTGTAAAAGAGTTAATTCCATTTCTAGATTTTATTAGCTCTCTGACCTTGGCTTGATTGCCAACCTTAGGTTTTGGTGCTTTTGGTTAGCTCCCTGACTAGAACTGTATTTTTGTGTAAATGGAGCTAACCATCCTCTTTTGTACTGTTTTTGCATCTTTATGATGCCAGTAATATAACATCTTTCTTCATTAAAAAAAAGCGTAATGCCAATGATGGATGTTATTCCATTTACTCAGACATGTAGATTCAAATGCAGTTGAAAGGACTATGAATGGGTATTTTCGATAGTTGACAGGAATCACAAAATGGACATAAATATTATTACCTTGAGGATAAGGATGATGTTGTGGGGCAGAGGAGTATTCATGCACCGAGAATAGAGTTGGGACAGAGTTAAACATATGTTGTCCTATGGAATAGCATAAGTTTCCTACTTCACGTTTTGCACTTTTTAGTGGTCTCTACAAAATGGTAGAATGATGTGTTACCAAGTGATACAAGATGCCTGAATCTACTTGAGAATTACTAATTACCTTTCCCTTGTGTTGTTAACCTGCAGATTATCAGCAAGGAAGGTGGATCACTTCTAAAAGATAATTTTAAAGGAGGAGCATCATGGGCATGTGAAGTTGGTTCACAGTCTATGGTCTGCCCTATCATAGTTGAGGATCTGAATCGGCCGCGTCAAATGCGTGTGGAGGTTGGAATATGTATAGATTACCAAGTTCTGACACTTTTGTGGACTCGTTATGGTTCTAGCATAGCAGATACAATACCTCATTATTGTTAGAAATATGTATATGAGTTTCATCTGAATGTCTGTTTTATGCAGATGCTTTGTGAAGAACCAGTTCTGTTTGTGGAAATAGCAAATATAATAATAGGAATTGGCTTGACCATCTTAAAATGGGCTATGGAAACGAGGAATGACAAAACATGGGTAGGGTTCATCGTAGAGGTATCTGCTTTTCAAGAATCGGGTGCTTCTTGCAGTAGACAATATGCTTGCACTTTTGTCATCTTCAACACTACCTAAAATTTGATGTTTTATAACAGGCAAACAGAGATGTGAAAAGGATAGAGATATTGTACTCACTTATTCGCCTCTTGGAGCATATAGGAAAATTGGAGGAGAATCTGCTAATGTCATTAAGAATGACATAATGATGGTGCATTCATTTCACCAAGCAGCTTCGTGTGAGCAGAATATCTTATTTATCTACTATTGTCATGTTTTCTTTTAAACTCTTAGAGTTGCTTCATTAGTCAATTCGTTAATATTTTATTTATTGTGAAAATATCCTATCTAAAAACTTAAACTGTTAGAACAGTAAAGTTTTCATTGCTTGATATGTCTTCTTCACCTCACTCTTTTTCTTGGAACTTTTCACTTAAGTGGCGGGTGAAATTGCGAGTGATACTATAACTTCAATCCCAAAGAAATAAGTTATTTATAGTATAAACAGTGGCTCCCACTTTTGTTTAAAGCAAAGTAATTCTGTATTAAATAGTAGTGAAAAATAAGCACGAATTGATATGAATTTGTGTAATAGCGCATGGAGTAGTTTGTATCTGATCAACAAACATTGAAAACTTCTAATTCTTGCCTGTTCTTTATGTTTTTTGTATTCTTTTTGTTACTATATACAGAGAATAGTTGAAACTTGATAGCAAATGCCCTTTAAGTCGATCATCACCATTAATTACAAAACTTTCTATCTTTATGTACATGAAACAACATTAGAGGAAAATTATTACACCCAATTATTTGGTAGAGAAAAATCATGGAACCTGAAAGAAAATTCCCCAGCAGTGTCCTTATCAAGCCTAAGTTCCGGTCCATCACTATGGTTTCCTCTCTCATCCTCAACTTCCGGAGGCAATGGCATCACCTAATTCTCGTTCGGTTGGTGTGCCAACCGAACTTCAGGTGGCAACGGTGGCAGCATGGTCGGGGAAATACTCCTCCCCGACCTATTGATGCTGCCACCATTTGGCACTGGGATAGAACAGTCCCAAAGAAACATGTGCAGGAGAATAGGAACCTTCGTGTGGCGATGCAATGAGAGTTTTTGGCTGAGAGAGACGGTGTCGAAGCACCGGAGTGCCCCCGTAGGAGAAACAATCCATGGAAGGACCTTTTGGTTGGAAATTCTTGATACAAAAAGTTTGCACTCTTTGGTTGCTTCTTTATATAGATTGCTAAGACCTGATCTTGAGGAAGGTGCATCCTCTTCACCTTCAATTAGTGATGATGTGTGAATGAACCCCTAAAGCATAATAAAAAAGTTTTAAGTCAGTAGTTACACAGAAGAATATTAATGAGTATTCATACTTTGATGTTTATACCTTACTTTTGAGGAAATACTGCTAGACCACTTTTAACATAATGCAAGATGCACTTCTTTCCATGAAAGAACAGTGTAATTATGCTGCTTCTTTGGCCTGTTTAAGTGATTAGTTGAGATCAAAATCCATGTCCCAATTTCTTCTTTGGCCTGTTTAGGTGATTATTCAGCTGGTTTTCTCCTTCTTTGTTCAGTGAGGTTTCTTAACTAGGTGAAATTCCAGCAGTTTTGCTCTGTTCTACACCTGAAACTACATTGTCCTTTGCAGTATTCATCTCAATTATGCCCAAATTCTGTTAATAATCTGGTGAATTTTGCAATGGTTCAAATACATTTAAATCTATCTGCTTTGTATCAGAGGTTAGCTTTCAATTAAGTCCTAACATCCTTGATTCCTGCATTGCCTTCTCATTCAGTATCAGAGTCGATACCTTTCCTAATAAGGTGGTGGAGGAAACCTCAGCGAGGATAGGTGTTTCTAATGGTCCTCAAACCGCTGGTGATTGAACTCGAAAGGTGATTTGCTGTGAAGCTTTACTTAGACAAAACTCATATCGGACTGGGAAGGGTAAGTTAGGGCCTTAGGGGTCATATATATAAGACGGAATTAGGAATTCAACAGTCGAGACACCTTTTAAGTTAATATCGAAGGAAACAAAACCACGAGGCGAGGCTCCCAAGATTGACCAAAGCGAACAATAACTTGACAGTTGCGCTCATAACTGGTCAATCTCTGGAAACACAATTCAGCTCAAATTTTGCAAAACATGAATGTTGTGGACTTGCAATAACTGGTCTACTATACCAACAAAGCCTCAATAACTCAAAGAACATTTACATCTACCTGTTTTGTGTCGGATGTTAGCTTTCAATTAAGTCCAACATCCTTGACTCAAGCATTGCCTTCTCAATGTTACATCATTAATTACACAACTTCCCTATGTACATCAAATAACATGAATAGAAACTTACTACACCCAATTATTTGGAAGAGAAAAATCATGGAAACGAAAAGAAGATTCCCCTGCAGTGTCCCTATCAAGCCTAAGTTCCGATCCATCACTATGGTTTCCTCTCTCATCTTCAACTTCCGGAGGCAATGGCATCACCTGATTATCATTTGGTTGGCGTGCCAACCGAACTTCAGGTGGCAATGGTGGCAGCATGGTCGGGGAAATAGTCCTCGACCGATTAATGCTGCCACCATTTGGCACAGGGACAGAACGGTCCCAAAGAAACACGTGCATGAGAATGGGAACCTTTGCGTGGCGATGCAACGAGAGTTTTTGGCTGAGAGAGACAGTGTCGAAGCACCGGACCGCCCCGGTTGGAGAAACAATCCATGGAAGGACCTTTTGGTTGGAAATTCTTGATACAACTAAAAGTTTGCAATCTTTGGTTGCTTCTTTGTATATATTGCTAAGGCCTGATCTTGAGGAAGGTGCATCCTCATCACCTTCAATTACTGATGATATGTGAATGAACCCCTAGAAAGTTAAAATTTTCAAGTCAATTAATAGTAAGAAGAAGAAAATGAATAGCAAAAAGTAGAAATTTAATATCATTCAGCGAGATTTTCACATAAAGCAAATGTCATGTGACCCTATGTATATGTTCTAACTTTGAACCAGGCTAATTATTTATATAATTTAACTATTATATATCGACAATAAAGAATTTTTATACTATCAGTATTTATAAGTTTATTCCTTACTTAATTGTACGGAAAGCAGTTCTCTTGGAAGTCAGTTTCCTCCCCGTCTTGGTGGGACTGGTCTAAAAAACTTTCACTTGAACTGCCAAGACTCGGTTTTTTGGCGCGAAGGCCCTTTAAGAATACGTTTATGTCGCCGAACAAAAAGGGACTAGTGCTATAATGATTAGTGGTGTTACGGAACAACTATGCGACGAGTGGTAATAAGGACAACTACAGTAGGTTTGACTGTTGCGTTAGGACGGCTTGTTCTCTTAGTTGTATTGCCCTAACGCAACAACTCTAAAAGTGGTAATAAGGACAACTACAGTAGGTTTGACTGGCGTTAGGACGACCGGTTCTTGTAGTTGTATTGCCCTAATGCAACGACTCAAAAAGTGGTAATAAGGACAATTACAGTAGGTTTGACTGCAGTGTTAGGACAACCGGTTCTCGTAGTTGTATTGCCCTAACGCAACGACTCAAAAAGTGGTAATAAGGACAACTACTGTAGGTTTGACTATAGCATTAAGGCGACCAATTCTAGTAGTTTGTATTGCCCTAACGCAATGGCTCAAAAGCTACGAAGCTTGTAATAAGTTAGGGTAAAAAGAAGTGACTTACCTCTTCAGTTCTGCTGATGGCAAAGCCAAGTCTGACATCAGTTTCTTTGATTTTGATCTCAATAGGAATCTCACCACCAAGAGGGGAAAACCAAAGGCGAACGGCTCGGACAACACCAATATCAACTCCATGGTAATCTTCAAAGCCATATAAACTTGCATTTGCAAGGTTTGTTAAATCAGAAAGTGATCCTGCATTTACTGTGCAAGAAGCTGTTTCCCCTGATATCTAAGAGGAAAACAGAAAAGAAGAAAGTTATTTGTCATTAGTTGATTTTACGTAGAAAATTATTGTATTTCACATTTGTAGCAAAGTTTTAAACATCAAGTTATGAGAACTTTAGAGCTATGTTACAACTTATATGGACTCAACTACCAGTATGTATTTTGTAGGAATGTGCATATTTGGTAAGAGTTTAACTTGTACAGAAATTTTTATACTATCAGGTCACCAAAACGTAACTGCATGTAAATCGTCCATACATAGTAGGATTTGTAACCTGTAGAAGCGATTTCTTGCTACGATTGGACAGAATATACCAATAGTGCAAAAATCGTTTACATTGTCGGTGCATATAGGGAAAGATTCCTGCTAGAATAGGTTAAAATGCACTGATGGTGTAAAAAACTTTACATTGTCAGTGTAAGAATACGTCGATCATGTAAAGAATTTTTACCACTATCACTATATGTATTATAACCCGACTTACTTTTCAGGTTACTAATCTCATTTCTTATGGATTGTATCATAGTTGTGGTCATCTTTAGATGATCTTATAGTGTGGAGAAACAGTAAAATTATCTCCGTGTGACTTATAGGTCACGGGTACGAGCTGTGGAAGCAGCCATTAATGTTTGCATTAGGGTAGGTTGTTTACATCACATCTCTTGGGGTGCTGCCCTTCCCCTGACCCTACGTGCTATCTTTTTTTATTGTGTTAAAGTTCCTGTAAAACTGATGGTGTATACAAGTTAAACTCAAATAAAGAACATATAAATATTTACCTTGGTAAGTAGAGACTCAGTCTGGATATTCATGAAGACAATGGGAACACCAGAAACTTGAGAAGCATTGAGCCAAGCATTTGCTCTAGAAAGAGTGTCTTCTAAATCATTGTAATGAATAGAAACTTTGTCTGAGGATTTTGGCAAGAGAAGCAGAGAGTAAAAACTACTTGAATTTGGAACTGCTAGCAATTCATTCATTCTCTTCTCCCATGGATAACTAACATATCCTTCTTGAAGTGGAGTTCTTGTTAATGCTGTCACCATTCTTGATTTCCTTGAAGCTGCATTTATATAATAAGATTTGTTATATTAGTTAGAGTTGCAACGGTAAAGTTGTCTCCGTATGACCTATAGGTTATAGGTTCGAATCGTAGAATCAGCCACTAATACTTACATTAGGGCAAGCTGTCTACATCACACCCCTTGGGGTCAGTGGCGAAGCCAGAAATTTTCACAAAGGTGTTAAAACTTGAAAGAAGTAAAAATTCCTGACAAAGGGTGTTCGAAATATATTATGTACCTTTAAAAACTGATATTTTATCTATATATGCAGTGTAATTTTCCGACAAAAGGTGGTCAATTGACCACCCTTATCAAAGTGTAGCTTCGCCGCAACTTGGGGTGCGGCTCTTTCTCGAACTCTGCATGAATGCAGGATGCTTTGTGCACTGAGCTGCCCCTTTTTTTAGTTGTGAATAATAATGTGTGCACTATTCACAAATAATTGTAGTGAATTACAGCATTTTCCTTCTTTTTTCCCTTTATTAACTTGTCCTTGATTATGACTTTACCAACAATTTTTGTTGTCTTTCCAAATAAAAAATATAAATTGATGAATCCATTTGAGAATTTTAATATAAATACTGATCCACTGTCAAAATTGGTGTACTGAGTTCTCTGGACACATCATAGCCCCTCCACTCCCACTAGCCATTAACCTTAACTCAAACAGAAAACTTTTTGATAGGAGAAATTTACTCGTACTCGTATTTAATTATAAATGCATATGATATGTATATATACATATATTCTCATCTCATTGTATTACTTAATCGCGATAAGTTAATATAATTCGATGTAATGACTTATTGATTTTTTAAACCCTGAGATCCTTTATTTTCCATTCTTTAATCTGATTTTGAAGCTATTAGTTACTTATCAAATTTGGACAAAGTTAATTTAATGCATAAATCTCTGTCAATGTGACAAGGTACCAATTACCAAAATTAATATATAT